CATAGTAAAATTTTAAAAAATTTTTTTTTTACTATGAGGGGGGGGAGCTCTGAGGAGGGGGGGGGGGGGGAATGTAAAACACATAATCAACTTGGTCTGGCCTTAACAACCTTTACATGTGAAGATGACGACTTTGAATTTGAAGGTGCTGTATAAATTTAAATGTTTATCTTTGCTAGGAAAATGACTCTCCGAGTCCATGTTGATTTTTTGAATACTTTGCCAACAATCTATTCACCCGATTTGGACAGCACCAGGGCGTAGGATCGATTTCCGGTCACGTGATTTTCCGAGATCAATCGGCCAATTAAAATCAGGATCTGGTGTAGTTTATTTCAAAACTTTTATTAGTAAACCTCCTTTGAGGTTCTAATAAAAAATTCCTCGTTATTAGGCAGCCCTTCCAAACCTAAAATACTCACGAACCCTAACATAAATGTGCGAAAACTATAGGCCTCGGAAAATCACATGATCGGAAATCGATCCTACGCCCTGTCAGTCTGCCCGATTTGAATGAACTTTTTTGTGGGCTAAATAAGCTCTACAAGGTTTTACCAAAAAAATCCCGACATCCAAAATCTCGAAAACCATAATCCCTACGTGATGATTAATATTTAACGATTAGTAATCACATTAACAATTATTGTCAGACGTTAAATTTTTATTTGTCACATCGAGTGATGTCAGTATTATGGCCTGTCGAAATTTTTGGTGTCGGGATTTTTTGGTAAAACCACTCTACAATATAAAAAAAAAGATCATTCAAATTGGATGACCAGATGGCCGGTGTCATTAGGTCAAAATATCAATGTTGTTATGGAATATCTCAGCAATATAAAGTCTAGCAAATAATAATTTTCGATTATAATTTTTTTTAATAGGCCATAGATTAAATGTTGGTGACAGGGGTGATTTTGTTTTGTGCAACAAAGTAAGTTTAATAATTTCTGACTGTCAAGCTCATCTGCATAAGCTTTTAATTCATAATCATATGTTTATTAATTAGCTGTGTGAAGGTGTTGGGCGTCATCGCCATATAGATTATTGCAAAGATCCCACCTGCGAACTTGGAGGTGCTAAAAAGGAAGGCCTTCTTGAGCATATTACAGGTGTTTATATTTTTATTACATAATTGACATTTAATTTATTTAGTTACTTATTATTATTGTATTTATAATTTTTACAATTATAGCAAATATTGGACCTTTCCCAAATAAAAAAAAAGACTATGTATCTCATCGTGTTTTTTGGGAACGAACAGGATTTAAAGGTACTTATTTTAAATGATTGATTTAACATTTGTCACACTTTAAGATTCATTATTAATTTTTATAAAATTTAGATCCTTATTCTACGAATGATCGTGAAGAATTCAAAAAATGTGATCATGAATGCATTGATGAAAAGCATCATAATAAAGTTGAAGGAAAAAACCCGGTTAAATCTTACTGTACACAAAAAATTTTTCACTCTAGTTTGGATCATAATTATAATACTACTCCGGATGGTACGGGTTATATTTCAGCCGATGGACATCATGTAAGCTTATCATTTATTTGAATCCACATTAATAGACTTTCATGTTTGTTTTTTTTTTAAGCTAATGACTACCATATGAATAGTTTTCATGTGAAAATCCAACGATAAGTGTTGGGAATTTTCATATTATATTTGTAATTGACCAAAGTGGTTCAATGAGTAATGCAGATTGTAAACCAGTTTGCAACACCACTAAGCTATTAAGTTTGAAACACAGACATGATAACCGATTAGGTGCAGTTATGGAAGCAGTATTTACATTTATAGAAACTAGAAAAAAATCACGGAAATCGACACAAGTTGGGCAAATGGCAATCGATCGAGATACTGTATCTCTTATTCTTTTTAATGAAAACACCACCGTTGCATTCGAAAACAGAACCCTGACAAACTCGGAAGAGCTTCTGCGCGAGATGATGAAATATACTGCAGGAGGTGGTACTAATTTTGCAAAAGGGATTAAAGAGGCCACAAAACTAATTAAGACGCATCGTGATCCTTCGAAGTAAGCTGACAAGCTGTATTCCCAATCAATTTTAAATATATATTTAACCAATAATTTTGTACCTTTACAGAATCAATTTAATACTTTTTTTATCAGATGGTTATGGTTCAGCTCCAGAAGAAGAATTACGTAATCTATGTCAGCTAGAAACAGATTTAGGGTAAGTTAAAATTAATAACAATGGTTATATTTTTTCAAATTATATAATGGTATTTAATAAATAATTATAAATAATTTACAGAACTTGTTTATATTTGTATACAATTAAGTTTGCTGGGAAATCTAATAATTCTACCAATTCGTTTATGTCGTTTTTGCAAAACCAAAAGTCTAATAACTCTAATGTAAATTCATTAGAAAAAATGGTCATGATTGCAAAAGAATATCTTCCAAAATCATATGATAAAGATTCTTTAAAGTGTGGATATGTTCATGCCGTTGATGAAATCAACTTAATTAACCATTTCACACAGGTTGCTCAGAGTCTTAGAAAACATAAACCAACATTATTGAGAAGATAAAACAAGAAATTAAACAGTTTATTTGATTTTCTGTTCTGCTTTTTCTTATTGCTTAAAAATATATGTATATTTTTGTGCAACTTAGTTTCTTTTATAATTTCTTATTAGTTATTTCTATCAATTTCTTATTATCCACAGCAAAGCATAGTATAATGGCACAATATAATCAACAATGTTACTTGTGTCTATCTCATAGTTCAAATTAACCTAGCTTATTAGTTATTATTACAGTTTACAACTGTGTATAATATTCTGGCTTCTTTACTTTTCAGATCGGAGGTACTGTACGTTGAAACAAGTATGCACAGTGTGAATATGATATGTAAGTAATAAATTAATATAGTTATCATGGTTATTATCAAGAGTTAGGACTGAATTGGTGGTGAAAAGTGTCCAAATTTCAATCACCTATCCATTAATATTTTGAAGTCATCTATCTGTCATGAATGTTTGTCTCCATATAAATGTTTTTAAAAATGGTAGATTTGGGAAAACCCTTTAATTGATTACCAATTGGTCATCTTATTAGATTCAGTCCTTGTACAATTGATTAAATGTAACAAACCACATCAATTTTGACCAATAAAATTAATGATTTGCAGTGTAATATCAAGATCAGATGTAAAATAAAAATCAAAACAATATTTGTTGTTTTTTAAAAAAATCTTTAATAATTCAAAATTTTGTTTATGAAACTACCTTTTGTGTTCTAATAAAAAAAATTCTTAATTCTAACCATAAACCTAATATAAGTTAAATTTTAAATTATTTTTTTAGTTTTTTGTTTTTATTTGTTTTGATAATGATCTTTATATTATGCAACATATATGGGGGCTCGTTAGTAGAAAAGGGGAAAAAAGTTTCTAAGTAAAAGTTTTTTAAACTTTGAATTAAAATATTTCAATAACTACTAAACTGAATTTGATAATTTTTTTTTATTTTAATTATATGCATTATAAAATTAAATAAAAAAAATTTTATTTAATTTGATTTAGTAGTTATTGAGCTATTCTAATTTAAAATTTAAAAAAAAAGTGCTAAAAACTTTTTACCTCTTTTCTACTGATGAGCCCCCATATATATAACTGGTGCTAGCACTACTGGTATAATTTAACATAATTATATAATATAATATGATAATAATAATAGAATATTTCTAACTATAACCAGTGGTGACCATCACCACCCTTTTTGTGTAACCAGAATTTGTGACGACGATCATCCATATCACGTGATCGTAACCCGACTAATCAAACCGCACATATAAACATCATAATTACTAAATAGAATAATCAGTACGAATGCATTACTATTACATATGAAAATAACAATACTATATATAAACGTTTATTAATCCGCTTACAACTACACAATGCAAATACCACAGTTACATACATCATACAATTTGCTGCTTCGCTTGCACTCAGCAACACCTCAAAGTTCGCTTTGCTCACCCTGCAATTATTCGCTTCGGCTGTGGACTCCTTTTTCTAAACTCTCAGTTTAACCTAAATTCTGACCCTAACCTAAGCCTAATTCCAAACAACAAAATCTCAACTATGAAGTTGCGAAAACAATAAATCAACACGAAAAACTCAAAATATCCATGGCACGATAAACTACACAAGCACGACGAACAAAACATCAAATAAACCCCCAAAATAATGAACGTATCTTAATAACCTATCTGAATAACAGCTGTTACCTGAAAAAAAAAAGTAGTTAGTACTTCTAAAACATAACAAAAAACAAAAAAGAAACAAAAAAAATCAAATATTTAGCTTCAAAATCTAATTCAATGTAACAACAGCACAGTAAATCACCAGCACAATGTTAAACAACGAATATAATGCTAAATACAATGCAACAAATATTCGGCACCAACGACAAATGCATTTCAACAGCTATTTGAATGACACCCATCACCTGAAATGAAGAGTTAGTTAGTACTTCTAGACTACAATACTGAAAAAAAAAAACAAAATACTGAAAAAAAAAACTAATACTTAGCTTTATAGTCTGATTCATCGTTCCAACAGTGAAGTAAATCACTAGCATGACGCTAAACATGATGAACACAATGCCAAATACAATGCAACAAATGTTCAGCACCAACAAAGAACGTATTACAGTAACTTATCTGAACGACACCCATCACTTAAATAGAAAAGTTAGTTAGTACTGCGAAAACACAACCATGAAACGAAAAAAAAAGGAAAAAAGATGAATACTTAACCTAGCGCAGTGAATTGCAAGCACAAGCAAACATGACAACACGACAAATACTCAAACATATTCCAGTAACTACCCTGAACAACACTCGTTACCTGAAAAAAGTTGAAAAAAAGAGCTAGTTAGTACTGTGAAAACACAACACTAAAACAAGAAAAAAAAAAAGAATACTTAGCTCCAGTATGACAGCCAAGCGTTCAGTCGCAGCGATGACTCCAAGGCAAACGACGGCTCCAGAACAACAATTGCAAGACAAATGGAGGCTCCAATGCGAACGATGACTCCAAGACAAACAACTCAAGATACAAACGATGACTCCAGGGGCAAATGACGAAACAATGACTTCAAGAAGTTCTGAATGAAAAAGTAAAAATTAGATTAAATTAGATCAAAAATTTTATTTATTTAATTTAACATTACATGTGATCTTACCGTGTAACATGGTGATCATCACCATGGGTAATTTTAATTATAATTCATAATAATATAATAAAATATGATATATACTTATCAAAAACAACTCTTTCTGACAATCACTTGGTCAACAACAATTTACTGAACTACAGTCAGTGATATAGAAAAGCAACATAGTAAATACAGCAATATTTTTGGTTTTGCACTAAGCAAACTTGTTGTTGACGAAGTCTACAATATGTAAAACACCGAGAAGTGGGCATATAAGAATATTAGGCGGGTTTGTGTCTTGGGTCAAGTTTTTCTTTCTTCGAAGGACTCCCTCGCACGTTCGGCATCCAAACTAGAAGGTTTATTCTAGGAACTATAGAGCAAAGTCTCTGGGCAAGAATATCAAGTAGATACTTGGAAACTGGACTATACAACTGTAAAACTTATAAGAAGAACCTCACATATTCTTGTTGACCCTTCACTTTTTTTTCAGGAAAAATTTTGTAAAAAAGTGGGCGATTTAGCTTACCACCTCCAAAAGATTGACATATTGTTTACTTACCAAATCGGTCGGCATTGTTTACTTTTTTTTCCGTCACAACAAATACGTGGATACTTATGGAATGTGGATATATGGATTACGTGCTTCAGAAGTGGCAAACCGGACAAACAGTGCTTCGAGATCATTCTTGTAAATTTCTGACTTCTCTATAGTGCCCAAAGTGCGCTTTTATTTATGCTTCTATGGGAGTTTAAGCAAAAGAAGCTGGATTGCTTACAGTGTTAGAGTACGGTGCTGATGTCGAAGAGCTTTTTTTTTCCTTTAGGTTTTCGCTTAAATATACTAATTAGTTAAATTAG